CTCTAAGAATATTGAAAGAAAGATACTTCAGTTACAGAAATGGAATTCTAACTGTTGAAGCTTTCTAACCCTTCCAATGTTTTAATGATTAACTGTCATCAGCATTTAGCTTGTAACAGCTAAGAAATGCCAAAACGCAACACCATACCTAGTCTGCTTTTTCAAATGAGAAATCCTTTGACAGTTTTGCATAAATTCTTTTTTAAGACAAAAAGACATACAACATGTCAAATTCAGAAACACTGTTTTGCCTAAACCGATTAGTAGTGATAATAAAAAGAACTTACCTGAAAAATTTAAGATGCTTTCTGTTCATAATATCTGGGATTTCTAATGGGAATGAAATTAAATTCTGTTAGATGTATTACATTATTCGAGTCTAATTTCAGAGAAAGAAAGGTGAGCTGAAGGGCTGAACATATTATTTCAGAGATTAAAAGACCAAAAAAATGAGAATGAGGATTCATATTAGAAAGTTTCTAAAGCAATATATAAACAGGAAGACCTCTCACTGCTTGCTAAAGAAAAGGAAGTGAACTTATACCCATGAACTGTTCCAGAATTCAAACGTGCCAATTACTGAAAAGCCAATCCTGACAAAGAATAAAAAGAGGTCATTTTCTCTAAACTGAAACATCCAAGAAACAGCAAAATTTTAAGCACCTGAAGTTTTTCCCTTTAAAAAAAAGTCCAGGGAAGAAACTAGGAAAATAATTAATTCCTTTTTTGCTTTAAAAAAAGCAAACTAACATCCTCAACCAAGATCAAGGTCTGGTTATGCTAGTTTTTAAGACATTCACTCACCCACGTAATAAAAAGACAATTCTGCTCTGCAGAACTTACTATAAATATGCACAACAGATAAAAGGTAAGATAAGAAAGCTTAGTTTCAAAACTGATCTAAATATACAAGCCTCACTGTAAATTAATGGGTACTAAGTTGTCCATAAGTATTTTGAAATGTTTTTGTAAAAAAATTTCCAAGCACTTAAGTCACTACTGCAGGCAAGGCAGATCAGCAGTACAGTTAGGAAAGTAACTCTGATAAGTCAAGTAAGAAAATGTAACAGTTAAATACTCTTCATAAAATTTACCATGCAGTACAAGAATATATATGTGTATGTGTGTGTGTTTTTAAAATATAAACACTGGGAAGAGTACAGTAAGATGTCAGGTGTTTGAATAGAATACATTCTTGGATTTTGGAATATAATACTACTTCCTTCCACCTGTAATATGACAGTCCGAAAGCAAAGAACGGCTATTTGATAACAATTAGTCTCACTCCAATGCAATTATAGTTTCCATTATTAAATACCTGTTCTATAAACCATTTAATACTAGGAAACTAGCATTCCCTGGTTGCTGAAATGCTTGTTAAATACTGCAGTAAATGCACCATAATATTTACACAGACTGTTGTCACATCTCCTCTCATGAACTGCATGAAAGGCATGAAAGGTTTCAGTCTTCCACACTAACAGAAATAAGTGACATATACTCACAATAAATCTTTATTACCTTCGGTAGTAAAAAGGAAGGCAAACAACATCTTGTACAAAGACCTATGGGACAGACTTCCCCCCCCGCGAAGTAGCCAAAACATTCCTACTAGATGTGTAGTTTATCAACTCATGTAGAATTTTACCTAGGATGCCTAAGCTGCTTTGCCTTGATGCAGTGTCATTCTTTTCTAGGTCAGTCCTAAAGTATTGCAAATGACCTGTGTTTAACATCTTCACTAATTTATAGAGATTTACGCTTTAGGAGCCTTGAAATTTTTGCACAGTCTAAAATACCTCATGTCTATGAACTGCACAGATTTCACAGCCAGCAGGTTTCTCAACAAGGAAGATGCTTGCTACATCTATAACATTAAATCCACTTTATTATTTTAGCTTTTAAAATGTGTCATTCCAGCAACTTCTTATACTGTTCTTGAGCAAACCCTGAACAAACAGTTCTGTCTTTGTTCATCTATCAACTTTTGCAGGTCTCACAGTAATACATCAGATCATACTAACAATGCAGGATTATACATGATTTTGCTACTACAGAATGTAGGATGATGATACCTGTCACTTATTTTTGTCACCAGAGTCCTTAATATTCACAAAAATATTCCCTCCTTTCAGACTGGGTTATAAAGTTACCAGCTGAAGAACAATAGTATATGCAAAATGTTTTGGTAACAATTACACTGATTTCTGCAGCCTGCTTCTTGGAAATAGGTAAGGTGATACTGCTCACAGCCAAGCAAAGCAAGGCAAAGAGACATGTATCTAATCCTTTTTTCATTTGCCAATTCCTTGGTTGTGATAGACATCAATGCCGCATTAGGTCCATCCTTCCCAACTAAGCAATGAAACAAAGCCATGGTGCCTCTTGCTTTCTTTGCAGTCCTTCAAACTGTGCTCTTGGCAGCATAGTGCCAAATGCTGAACCATCCTAGCCCCCAAGACAGAAAGTTCTTCCCTTTTCTCAGGTATTTTACAAGGAGCAATGCCTACTCAGTCTGCTTCTAGGACAGAACTTAGTGATGTATACAGCGAGTTTGGCAGAAGTGGCACCATGCTAATTTGGGACAACTGCCCCACACTGACATTTGTATTTGTTCCTTCTATCAAAGCACTGAACCAATATACAGTTCAGTGTTATTCTCAGAAAACCAAGGACTAAATTGCAATACTTTCAAATGAAGCCCTTTCAATTGCTTTTTTTGATGAAAAAACACCTTAGAAAGCACTTAAAAAAGTTAATTTAATTAACTTACATGGGACTTTTTCCAAAGAGAATATTCTAATAGTTTTATCTTGCCTGTCATCCAGGGCTCACCACCGTCACAAGAAAGCAGGCATTCTAAAGGGGGGAGACTCTCTGACAAACCAAGATTTGGCACTGCATCGATCTTTACTGGTTTGGCAGTGACTAAATTTTTAAGTTATGCTTACATCTGTGTTTGCAGTATGGTACACAATACAAACCACAGAGTTGCCAGATTAGGAACAGAACTACAAATTCTAGTCCTGTGTGTGAAGAAATAAAGTAACTATATACTGATATATAGTAATTGATTTTTTAAATTATGGTGGAAAGTTGCAGTAGTGCTATATTTTCAGATTAATAATACTTGTCTTACTCAGAAGTATCTCCTTAGCATGAGCCAGTGTCATGGTTTTTGCTGCTACTTGTGAACTTCTTAGTTTGCTTTAAAAATGTTAAGACACAGGAGTATGTTTTACTGAACTAAAGATGGAGAAAATGGAAGATGGAGAAATATGGCACAGGAGTTAGTGGAAAAGAAATGAAGACCGTATTTTGGGGAGTGGATATTGTCTGGCATTTCTAAAATGAAGTATTCAGCAACCTATGAGTTGCAAAGTAACAGTAGTGAAAAATTTAAGTAAGCATTTTTTTCCATGTTTCTGATCCTTTCAGATAGTTTTACTTTCCTCTTTCTCTTCTGAGGAAGAACAAACAGCATGCTAGCTCTCAAACTTTGTCATGAAGATGTTAGTGCTTTACACCGTTTTCTAACAAGGAAAAAGCAAAGAAACTGAGCTTAATTTATAACTTGTGTAAAATACTGTAATGTCAGCACCTTTCCATCTGTTTGGATGGAGAAGCACTGGACCAAATTACTTCAATGTTCGTATGGGCATCAGAAGTAAAAAGCTTCTGCCAGCTGTAGGTTTAACCTATACTTCTGTGCCCAGGCTTGAACCGGAGAGCTTCCAAAGCATAACTACAGAAAAAGGGGATAGAGGAGCTAATCCTGGTGTCAGAGCATCCTTCTGCAGCTGTATCCCACAGCGCTATTTTTTAACCAAGTGCTCTGTGACAGTCTGCTGAGATGCTTTATTTCCTTCCAGAAGTATGCTGATAATAAAAAACATTATTGTTCTTCATAGCAGTAACCACTTCTCTCTCCCAAAGCAAAGACATGTACAAGAGATTTACCTAAATCTCACAAGAACTGAAATGTCACTGCTCTGTCAGTGCTCTGCACAGAGTATAGGCTGCACATATCTCATATCTATTAGAACTGTCATACAAAGAAACACCCATCAGGTCAAAAGATGAAATTGCAGCCTGAAGTTAAAAAAGGAAAAGCATGTCAGAAACTGTAGATGCTCTTTAGACAAAGAACCATTCAGTTTCACAATAATGATCGTTACAGAAAACGGCAGCTAACAAACAGTATGCTAGTTACACTAGCAGACACAACTTTCATCTGAATTAAATCAATTTCTTTATAACCTGAAGTTTCAAGAATTAACTAATAAAACTGGTGCATTTAGCTTTAAAGGCCATTTTTCCCCCCAAGACTGACATTATGCTTCTGACAGAACAGGCAACATAATTAGAACGTATGATGTTCAGATTAAATAGTTATGACGCTTTTCAACTGAAAGCATGCTACCTCTGAGTTCCAAAAGCATATCCTGTAAACATTGAGGATTCCATTTCAATAGTTTTGCTATAAACATGTAAGAGCAGATGAAAAACACAAATGCACACAAATGACAACATCAGGAAGAAAATTGAAGTAAATTAATGTAGATATATTTAAAGAGTAGGGAAGTGACAAGAAGCTGCTAACAAAACTCAACAACCTCACAGATAGACTGAATGTTCCCTGTATAGGTGCTGATTTTTAAAAAAAGACGACTAAAATTTACTATTCTTTTGGATATCTACCGCTTTTGTAAACAGCCAGTAAAGAAGAATTAATTTTTCATTTACATATATCTGATATACATATACACAGCATCAAATTTTAGGAGACTTTCCTAAATGTGAACAATTCATATCATGTAGTCTCTTCACAGCAAATGCAAACGCATACAAGAAATAACCGAGTTCAAGAACAGGGGGAAAAAACCCAACAAGTACTAAGTCAGTTATAAAAGCTCCACTCACGACAGCTTCCAGGGATAATAATGAGCTAGAGCATAAAAGCAGTTTCCAGCTGATCTCCATTTATCCCCAATCTCTAATTACAGTATTTAGTAGCAACTATTTTCTCTGAATGAATACTGTCCTAGACAGAGAGCAAAACCTGCAGCAGCTGTGATAACAAATAATGAATGATTTGACAGTGTATTTAATATGTGAAGTTGCACCATGCTCTCTGAATGCTTTACTTACTAATACTGTAATAACCTCAAATTTTATGTACAATATTTCTGGATTCTTCTTTATTTTTATGTTGTGCTTGTGCATTTGACATCTTTCTATCTAGTCCTAATGCTTTTCTCTGTCAGTTTTCCACAAAGCAGTAAGGAAAAAAGGAAGAACTAAAATTTAAAAGCAAAACCAAACCGGAGATTTTCTACAACTGAGATATTTTATGACATTCATAGTATCTATTTTCCCATGACTCTTCCCCCCTTCAAAGAAATCAAAGATTATGCATGAAGTCATACAGATATTCCTGAATTCCTCTGTCACTGCAGGTTGTGAAAGTGCTGGCAAAATTTTAAACAATGGCAAAATTTTAAAGCCATTCATTTTGCTTATTGGTACAATATAAATCAGGGGAAAGGGGAATATGACACACAAGCCAAACCTTGCTGTGCTTTGTATGCTAACCACAGGATAATTTTTCATGTCTTCCATGACATACTTTCACTGTTAGAAGGACACCTGAATAACACTTTAGCATTAAAGCCAAGTTCATTACTCAACTCCAACATGCTTATTTGTTAAAGCAAAATACATAAATTTCACTACTGTTTTGTACTTGACTCTCCTCAAAACAACTCTTTGCTTTTTGCACTTTCATTATCCTTTTGTCTTTCTCCTTTTTTTCACCAGGTTGCTGCTGCTTTCCTTCAGCCTAGTTCCAACTATCAACTTTTCAGTCTTTTGTTTCTCTTTCTCACATGTAGCTTGCATCTGTACACTACCTGCAAAACCAGAAAATACTTTCAAAAAGAGTTTAAGCGTGTCTTCTTAAAGACTATGCATCTTAAAAGGAAAATTTCAGCTCTAATGATTATGTTGTGGTTTTCACACGGGTGCTCCTCAGAAGATTTCATTATCTAATCCGCTGGCATAGATGGCCACCCCAAAGGAAGATGGATGGTAATAAAAAAGTCAACAAGAATATCTGGCATTACGATTTTACTCAAACTTGTGATAATGCCCAAGACGAATGTTTAAAAACTCACAAGTGCTTTCAACTAGGCTCTTATCTACAAGATTTTAAATTTTAAATCTTCAGAGTTATTGTCGGCTTTTGATTATTAAGAGGTTAAGTGTTAGGGCCTTCACACACACAGAGCACTTACACTCCCTCCACCACCATCACCAGTAAATCAAAGAAAAGAGCGTAACTCCTCTGCCTGAGAAGAACAAGGCGGAAAAATGTGTTTTTCTACTTGTGGTTTATCATTTATGCCTGTAGAATAGAGCCTGTAGAGTAGATGTGTCACAATAGCCCAGGATTTCTTTGTGGAATACCTAAATTTTAATAGGAAAATTCCAGAAATATTCAAATTTTGGAAATACATCACTACTACAGTTTCTGCTGTAATCATTCTCCCACATGAAACACATCTCAACCTCAGTGGAATGAAAGGTCTCTTTCTGAAGATGTTTTCGGCCCATGAGTTCAGAGGCTTTGGTTCTCTTCAAGTCCACTCTCGCATGATATGAAACTTGCTGAAGTTCCTCATGCCACTGGCCCACATCGGTGGAAAGGCGCAAGTCAGGCACAGGTTTATCCCTAACAGTAAGTTTCTATATTATCAAAAGAATGTTAAATAAAGCTGTGTATAAAGACTTCATTAGCACAAATCCAGAGTGCAAAGCCCACCTAAAAACAGTAATTAATTTGTTGACAAAGCGATGCTGGTTATTGCCCACAGGAGCAAATAAAGTCTTCACGCTAATGCATGTTAAAACATGCACACCCACTGAAATGCCCTTTTAAGATAAAAAATACTTTGTATATAATGAAGGTCCAAGGAAGCTGCTGAAGAGAATTTGTATTTGAGACAGGTACATTAAATTTCACTTTAGTTTCAAAAATACGCTATATGTGCCTGCACTAAAGAGGCACTAATAGCAAAGACGCACAAATGCAAAGCAGTAAAACAGAAATATGAGTCAAATCTCCACCATTTTTTTTCTCCTTTTCTTCACCCTGCCCCTCCTCTGAAACTCCTCTGCAAGGCATAAATACCTAGCAGTTAGTTAAATCCTTAAAAGAGAAAGAAAGATAATGCCTAGAAACTTCATTTAGATTGTAGCCTCATGAGCAGGAGGAGAAGGTGTGATTACTTCTAATGCTTTTACATACCCATTCCATAGCCTTCATAGAGTTGTCTTTCACGTTCTATGGTCTGCTTGATGACAGTTTCCCGTGAACCGTGCTGTCTTCCCTGTCTACCTTTAATGCCGTTTTGTAATTCAATCTGCTCCAATTCAGCATTGAATCGACACATATAACTGAAAGAAATAAAACGCATTTACGCTGGATGCAGTCAAGCAAAACTTTTGCAAAACAGAATTACTCTGATAATCTAAAAAGTTATTTTACTAATTGTATTTATTTTCTAAATTAGTCAGAGATGTTTCTTAGATTTGGACTATTATTTTAATCTTCAAAGTGGAAGCTCCATTTAGAACTTCATTTGAATTATCTGCCGCTTCCAGAAAGATTAGGGTTTTTTTATTTGCTTTAAAACTATATTTGCATAAAACAAAACTCCCACATTATTATGATTCACCTGCTCTGGAAGACCAGTGTTAAATCTAAGTATTCCTAACTTTTAAATGCTGAATCGCATCACCTCAATAATAATTTTTCAAGTAAAGTTCTCCATTGGCATGTGTTCTACACCATCTTGCAAACATTCAACCCAAATACAAAAGGTAAGCTTTTATTGCCTTTGCAGTATCACTAGTGTTCATTAGCAGTTTACAGGTTCCATGAACAGTGTAGGAAGTGTCAGAACGTCTCAAAAGAAACTGATATAATATCCCTGTGTAAAAATGCATATATATTATGTTATTTAGGTAGCAGGTAAAAAATGGTAACAAGCCACAGGTACATACATCCAGCAGCACAGAAAAAACTGAGTTTCTTCTTAGCAGATTCAATTTTGGTATTTCCTGCCCTAAAAATTGACCCACCTGAGTACTGTTTCATCTTCTCAGCAAAGAACATTAAAGAATAAAGGAGTAAATAGTAAGTAATAAAGGAGTCACTGAATAGCCCAACTAGCAAATTCATGCAACTACTACTATGCAAATCGATTAGAGTCCTCCACACACTACAAAAGCAGAGATATACTTAAATAATAAAAAAAACAAACATGACTTACTTCAGTAATTCTAGTGTGAATATATATATCTTTCAATATATAATTGACCTCAGTTGCAACGGAATCAACTATTTGATATCAATAGTAATATACAAAAAGTCCTTCTCTGAGTCTTCATCACTTTACAGAACTTAAGAACATTATTTTAAAAGACAAATCAAGCTTTTTAATCCTGTTTTTAATACCAGTCTTACTTTTCAATTAGTTCACCAGCTTCCTTCTTTGTGTACTCAATTTTACTGGGGTCGAGGTGACTTTGAAACCACTGCAATTTTTCTCCTACAAGAATAAACTTAATATTAATGATTACATCATCACTGTAGCATCAACACAGATTAAAGTTGTTCAAATTTTTGAAATAACCCCCCATTTTACATTTTGAATAGCATCATAGACTCACTGATATTGTGTATACCAGGTATGAAAGTAGCTGCAACAGAAACATTCTCACATCATTTCAGATGTATTTTGTATCTTCCTTATGGAAAAAAGACATTACACTTTGCTTTACTGGATATTAGCATTTAAAACGTCACTGTATCAATTGCTTAAGATGGAAACTTAGGAAGGCCCCAAGGGGAAAAAACCCAACACAATGACTGAGCAAGAGTTCTGATCATCAAAATTTTTAAACAGATTAAATTGAAAAGGTGCAGTGTCAATTATATGAAAAATATTCCAGGTTGTGTCTCAAAATTTTGAATTTACTTGCTAGCAGAATGTGTCTGCTAACCCACGTGTATCACCCTGTTTTATAATTAAAAAAAGCGTGGAGACAAGTACAATAAATTCATGTACAGATGTACAAAACAGATGTTTGGTCTATGTTGCCCTGTTGTCATGTACACTGACTAAAGATTAGGCTACGCTCAGATGCAACTTCAGTTTTGTCTATACTACTTAAGTAAACATGTCAGGTATTTTAGCATTTCAACAAAGACTTTTTTAAAATTATAGAGTCAGATTATAAAGAAACTGTAATTGGAGTATTTATAAAGTCCATAAAACTTAAAATCTATGCTAAAAAGTTGAACACTGTATTCAGTAATAGAAGTTTCTGCTCACCAATGATACTCAAACGCAAAGCTTTGTCAGTCTTCAACCTAGCAGAGAAAAAACAGATAAGTTATCAAGGAACGAGTACCATACAAATAGTTATCGTCATTTTCTTTCTCCAAAAATTTTTTTGGAGTCACAATGCAAGTCAAGGTAAAATTTCAAATAGAAATATTTGCCAAATTCAGAACACTGTAAAACTTTGCTTCATCTAAAAATTCTACTTTTTGGTAAAACTGCTACCTGAAATTTGTCCAGTTTACCTATAAAGTTAAACAGTTTCTTGGAAGAAATTAGGACACACCACTGTTCTTAGACCACAGCAAAAGGAATTTCATAGAAGACCTGCACTGTAATAATTTTATTAAGTATTTCTAATATTCTGATGGTATATTTAATGAGCTTGGAAATCAGGAACAAAGTATTTCAACACACTGCATCCTCGCAAATCAAGCATACAAGTGAAAAGTACCATCCTAGTATCTAATAAACCTCTAATAATAAAAGTTTGTGCTTAGTGAACAGTAAAAGTCCATGTGTTCAGAAACCAAAATTAACAACTTTGTAAAAAAAGATGAAAAAAAAGTCTACCTCAATGTATTTTTAACTCCACCTCAATCTGTGGTGGGATACTTAAAGCCGTCTGTAGTTTATGGAACGTGTGTACACAATTCAGTTTGGGATTAATTCCCATCCTGTTGGGCAGTTCTCAGAGGACACAAGTTTTCTAACAGGTAATAAATACAGTGCATCATGCATTTTTGTCCTGAAGCTCCCATATTCAGTCTGCAGCAATGAATCTTTCTGAATGTTACTTTATTTCCAGAAAGGAAAATAACACGTTGTTGGGTTAAGTATGAAATTTGTCACTGGAAAAAATATCTTAGCCCATGCATGTTCAGTGTATATATGCAAGGACCTCTGACTTCTTTTATTATTTAATAAGAAAATTGATAATGGATAAAGAAAGACTTAAAGGATATAATTGACAAAGAACAAATAATGCCAAAATTCAATACAGTTCAAAGCTACCCACCCAAGGGTACTGAAGGAGCTGACGGAAGTGCTCACTAGGCCACTTTGCATCATATATGAGCAGCCCTGGCTAACCGGGGAGGTCCCAGCTGACTGGAAGTTGGCAAATGTGACACCCATCCACAAGAAGGGCTGGAAGGAGGATCCAGGAAACTACAGGCCGGTCAGTCTGACCTCAGTGCCTGGGAAGGTCACGGAACAGATCATCCTCAGTGCCATTACACGGTACATGCAGGAGAACAGGGTGATCAGGTCCAGTCAGCATGGGTTTATGAAAGGCAGGTCATGCCTGACCAACCTGATCTCCTTCTATGATAAGGTGACCCACTTAGTGGATAAGGGAAAAGCTGTGGATGTTACCTACAAGGCTTTTGACACAGTTTCCCACAGCATTCTCCTGGAGAAACTGGCTGCTGCAGCAGCATGTACTCCACATGGGAAGCGTGCCCCGCGTTCCCGGGTGGATAGCCCTCGCCACCCACCTCCCCCGGGCACTGCTGCCCCTGTCCTCCTCACACCGTCACCCGGACCTGCCGCCCCTTGGACGACTCCGCTGGTGAAACCTTTCCAGCTCTTAATTCCTGATACAATAGTTATAAAAACTTTCAAGTGTAAATTTCAAAAGGTTGGAGAAACACACGCTCCGTCTCTGCACAGGAAGATCTCAGCGCCGCAATGGTGCTGCATGGATACATGTATTGATCTTAAGTGTATATCTAGACCATTAAAAATGGTATTCATTTAAGCCTATACATGAACAGGATTTCTGTTGGTGTTGAGAGTTTTTCCTATGTATTTTCTAGTGCTGCAGGGGTTTTAGTATTATTTTGTTTAGGAGTGTCGCTAGTTTTTAATGTAGAGCAAGTCACAATATGGCATTTCCAGTATCTTGGATCTGAAGTGAAAGAATCTCCAGGGGAATAGCAAATACTCCTACAAATGCAAGAACTTGACTTTCCAATACTATACTTTTCCTTTTAAATGCCATTTTCTTTAGCAATATACTAGATAATTGGTACACAGTCATGGGAGGCTTTGGAGCAAACCCCCTTATTTTTTAAGCTTAAAAAATACTTGTTTGCTTCTTGGCAGTGTTAGTTTTGACTGGGAATACCATCTTCCGTTTTGGAAATAAAGATATGAGAAGTTTGTTATTGAGACTTTAGAGAGAGAGGGAGATCTTGTGGTCTGAAACCAGTTTCAGGGCTCTAATTCCACATCCTCCGCAATATTTACAAGTCAATTTGCTTAGATGTAATCTGGCTTTACTCAGTGGAGTTCCTCCTGATCTATACGCTGCAGTAGAAATCAGAAACAGATACTCCACATCTGTTTCTGGTTTTAGGTGGTTTTGTCAGGGCAGGCTGACGGCTGGACTTGATGATCTTAAAGGTCCCTTCCATCCTTAGCAATTCTATGATTCTATGATTCTAATGTGCTCCTTCATTAAATTCCTTGTACTCCACGGAATTTAATGAGCATTTCAGAGTTAACTGAAGTAACTCAGAGCACAGAAATCTGTCAACTGTCACAAAAATTGAGCTCAAAAGAGAAACTCCTGCTTTCCAGAGACAAACATATTTGTGCCACTTGGCCACAAACCTACATTATTAAAATAAAGATTAGCTTTTTCAAGGAGTATTTCATCCTCTGAAGATCATCTAAAAGCCACATAAAGGCAAATGCACAGCATGTGTGAGTTGCTAAGAATTCCACTAACGCATTCAAGGAAAGCCTTTTTAGTTCTATGGATACCCCGGCATCTGAGACAAGCATTTTTAATACAAAAATCTACAGAGGTCAAGCATGGGGTTTGAGTTTTATCACACCTGCCAAAGAAAAGCCCAAGCTGGTTGATTAATTAAAAAATGTTTGTGTTAAAACAAAAATGACCCTCGTTCCTGCGGGTTAAAGGACACACTTGGATGAGAATATGTACAAAAGAAAGGAAAAAGGAGTTAGATTAGAAGTCAGCTTTAAAGCTTAGCTGTAGAAGATGCCTTCAAGACAAAGTGTGGTAGGGCGCCTACAGAGGGCTTACAGCAGGGAGTTCTGAATGGGAATAGCAATCAAGAACAGGACACATTCCACACAGTGGAACTTCACCCCAGCAGTCTCTGCTGTGAACCTCACATGGCAACACAGCCAGCCGAGTACGACTGCAAAGCGTTGCCATGGAGAAAACCATGATGCCATCTAGAAATGCTGCCTGATTATAATAATAAATCATGTAACATATCTATGCTTTAAAAAACTACAAATTACCATTTGCACCTGCAAGAGTCACTAGATCATTTATTTATCAAGGCAATGAAGTATATAACCAGGATTTTTTTCTGGAAGAAAAACTGCCTGTGTCTAGGTGTACACAACTTATTTCAGTACAAGAAATACTGAATGATAGGATCAGACATTGCCCTACTGTACTTTTCATAAAAACTTCACCTCAATGACTGCTAGAAGACAATAGTATTAGCAGGGAGTCTAATCAAATAAGGTAGGTCAAAGAAAGTTCCTTTCATCTCCTTC